ACTCTTTCGATACTTCTCACTAGCCGAGAGTTAACACCGTTGACGGTGTTCAATTCAAGTCTGGGGGGGGAGTGATACTAACGCGTCTCGTATCCATGAGCCTTGCATATCATTTGCATCATACACTTAGAGTCTTGCATTCTACTTTCATCGAGAAAAAAAAACTTGCATTCTGTGTATAATTTGTATTCCTTGCATTGACCGACATTAATAGATTGCATAACATATAGGTCTAGGTACGCATGCATACACTTGCATAAGGTTTTTCTTCTCAAAGATTTAGTCGGATGACGATGTGGGGGACATAGAGTAATGATTTTCTTGGAAAGGTTTTAGGAGTTGTGTTTAGAATTATCTAAAGAATTGAATGGATTGTCGAGTGAGGTAGAAATATTTGATCCAACCCTAGAGCAAATGACTGTCATGTGGGATGATTTTGTCTCCTAGAGTCTAGGTGGAGTAGAAGTTACGAACCAAGCATAAAATGTCTCCCCAAAAACCACCCTTTAACCTCTAAGTTAGAAAGCCCATAGGAAACAACAAGCCCTAGAAAATACGATGCATCCGACACTCCTCTGTCATTATCTCGTTAATGAAAATCATTCAGGGACATGAGTGCATCGGAAACGAAGGCTCAGGTCTAAGTTCTGGGACAAGAACACAAAAGAAAAGAAAAAGAGTGACGCTTGTCAAATTCCAACGTCCTAGAAGCTCGGGATTGCATAAAAAAAAGAAGGGAAAAGAAAGAAAGAGAAAAAGAAAACAAAAACAAGAACAAAAAGGAAAGAGATAGGGCAAAGGAAAATAGTGAAATTATGGGCCATGTAACTTTTAGAGACCTCATTTGGGATGTGTTTAGGAGACATGCTCGGCAAGTAGGATATACTCCATTTTAGATCGCAGGAAGCAATGGAAATCCCATTGATAGGTTTTCGCTTGAATGTTGGAAAAGATAGAGTATACCAAAGCCGATTTCATTCGCAGCGACTTTAACCCGGACAACCAATCCACTCTTAACCCCCATTTGTATTCCAACTATATCATATCACCCCTTGGATAGTTTTATAATTGCACATTTACTCGAGGACGAGCAAACCTCAAGTCTTGGGGGATTTGATCATACGGTTTTTCCACCGGTCTTCTAACGTCATGCACTCCACTTCTTCATACATTTTAGGTATTATAAGACGTTAGACGACCATGGGTAGGTTCTTTTGATTTTTTTCCCTTGCAGGACGATTCCATGAGAATTCTCACAAGCGTGGTACGGAAGAGCACGGTTTCGGGAAGACCCGGGAAGCTCAGAGAATTCAGGCGGGTCGCCCGTTTTCATGAGCGACCGCCTGAAAATGAATAAAAACGTAGAATTGGAAATGCCAGAGAAGAATGAGCGACCGCCAGAAATTGTGAGCGACCGCCCGTTTCCTGAGCGACCGCCTGAAATTCTGAGCGACCGCCCGCTTGTAACTGAAAAGGAGAAAATGAGCAACCCTGAAGAGAAAATGAGCGACCCTGAAGACAAAATGAGCGACCGCTCGATATCAAAACCGGTCCAAAAAGGAAAAGTCCGATTTGTGAGGAGAAACCTAGCTGGAGCACTTGCATAAAAAGGGGAGTTTGATGAGAGAGAAGGGGGACTCGACACTTTGGAAGAAAAACACCTTGGAGAGGAGGAAAGGGAGATTTGGAGACCTAGGGAAACATCTTGAAGGAGGAGATCACCATTGAAGACCATATTGAGCATTTCTTCTCCTTTTCTATGTTCTCCCCTTTTATTTTCTGTTTTGAACCTCTAGATATGGAGTAGTCACTTTGTTGTGGGTGAGGGATCCCCACTTTTGTATGGACACCTATGCTTATCTATGATGCTTTTGAGTTTTCTTCCATTGGTTTGATGTTTTATGCTTAGTGCTATTGATTTGGATGAAACCCTAATCGATATGACCATAGAACACATTGATCATAGGGATATGGGAATGATGTTTGGAACCAAATGTCAAATGAGTGAGTTATTCACATTGGGAGATGGCTTAGCTTGCTTAGGGTTCATGATGGGGTACATTAATGCATCTAGAGATCATTTGGATCATTGGGAAATGGGTGAATCGATTCTCTAGGTAGTGAGTTTAAGCTCGGGAGAGATAAACTCTAGAGGAAGTGCTTGAAACCTCCAATTGGAAGATAAACCCATAGGCATTGTAACATTACTAACCGTCCATGCGATTCTTGAGGGATCCCGAACCTACAACGCTTCAAACCATCGTTTACAAACCGTTAATTTTAATTGCTTTCTCGTATTCCGACACTTACCACAACCCACATTTTCATTGGACCACCTAATCTAGCTTAGAGATAGACTAATACATCCTAGTCCTCGTGTTCGACCCCGGTACTACAACTACCGTATACTTGCGGATAGTGGTACGGATCGGGTACTAAATATAAGACTCGGTGCGTGCGCATCAATAGACGTAGGCAGACTTAAGTGCGAGTGAACGAA